TATATATATATGTTACCTTATCAAAAAAAAAAATGACACAGTCAAAATTATGGATTTTATCCATTCACCTTTTATAGTGTCTTCTTTGTCGCTTATCTCTTTTTTCTTCATTAAAAGGCTTTACAGGCCGTAAACATATAGCCAGGAGTAGAGGTGGAGCTATGATTTCAACTTTATGGGTTTTGGATTAGAATGACGACTTCAAGTGCTAATTATTGGGTTCTTAATTTAATATTTGTTCATATTTGATGAAAATTATAATACAAATACACTGTTTGAGCAAAAGCTATTGGGTTTGAGCGTTTGGCCAAACCCGTGGCCGGGATTCTAGCTCCGCCCCTGGCCAGGAGTAATGTGAAAAAAGCCCTCTTACTTCACATTGTTATGATGAAAGCTTAAATGAGTTATTATATAAAAGAATCTAGTTGACTCAGAAAAGGTTGGTTGTATTCTGTTATTTCACTTTTGGTGTAAAGAGAAGTATGCTGATGAAGCTGAATCACTCCTAGAAGTCATAGAATCCCTGTAAGCTGAACAGGATATAGTTTTTCTGAATTATGCATCTTTGGTAACTTGTAAATATGGTTTCCAGCACTTTGTACTGCTGATTAATATATTGTTACCTATTCCAAAAAAAAGAAGGTTGGTTGTGTCACATGAATTAGTTCGGAAGAGAAATTGTATTGTTACTGAATTGTAGGTCTATTTCCAGAGAAAATGAAGAAAGGTATTCACCCTCAAATGCAATGGATATCCTATGTGACACAAAGTGGACGATTGATGCATGTTATGATGACCAAAATACACCAAACAGGCAAGGTTTATCACATTAGAGCAAGGCGTCAAATGGCTCAAAGTATTGGTCAGATTGCAAAGTTTAAGCGCCGGTATGGTGAGAAGGAGGAGGAGGAGGTGGAGAAAGCAGAGAAATGAAGGTTTAAGTTGGAAAAAGAATGAATTACCAGTCTTGGGCTCTCTGATGATTTTGTGGATGAATTCATCCTTACCTTTTCCCTCTTCATTTCGTCTTAACTTTTCTGTTTAAGGAATGAATACTGGTCTTCTTGTATGCTGTCACCCCTTCGAATGTTAGTGAAGAAACATTGGCTCATCCTACTGTCAGCGTCTCCTTGTTTGAAAGTATTTTATGAGGTTTAAGAAACTTTAGTGTCTCTATCTTCTTATTTGGAATTATTGATGCTTCTTCTTCACCCGTGTCAAATGACCATGTTCTCATGGTTCTGGTGTACTTTTTTTTGTTGTAGTAAATTCCTGACTAACTTTTAAGAAAAGGAGAAATTAAACTGTAGGAAGTAGGTAGCATGTTTGAGTATCTCCCTCTGTTGTTGCCTGTCTTCAGTAAGCTAAAGGACAAAGCTGTTATAGTGTTGTAGTCACATGTTTTATTGTTCCAAAGGTGTACACAATAATATGATTGTTGCTCAGAATTGAACATCATTCTCATTTACCTGTTGTGAACAGTTTTATGAGATCTTCTTTTCTTTTTGTTAACTAAACTATTTTCATTACCAATAGTAGTATGTACAGCAAATACAAAACCTGACAGTTGAACCATAGGTGTCAACTATCAGCAGCAATCCTTACTTCTCTTACAATTGTTAGTTTCTTATTCAGCATTTTTACTCGGGGAACAGAAAAAGTTTTTTTTTTGGATCAAGAGGAAATATTTAATATATGTGATAGATATGAGTTACATAGAGGGACTTTCCACTGGAATATAGCTCCCAGCCCCCAGGGAGTAGTTCACAACATATTTAGATGCAAAGGGTGGGGGAAAGGGATATAGATTTGAGCTCTTAAGAACTTTCTATTTGCTTCCACCCTTAGCTAGTTAGTCAGTTACATGGTTAGCTTCTCTGTATGTGTGCTTCAGAGTCGGATTACCAGCCTGAGGAGGAGTAACGTGCAATTATCAATGAGGTGAGGAAAATGAACATTACCTATTTGAAGTGCAGTAACTACTACATTTGAGCCTGTGTTGATTTCAAGTGGATGTAGTTTCTTTCAAATTGCTATCTCTGATCGCATCTGTAGAGCTATTTGTTCTGCAAATATGTTAATTGTGAAAGGAAGTATCATATAGTAGCCTAAACTCCAGTCACCTTTGTGATTTCTGGAGCACCTCCTATCCGGGTTATTGATTACCCAATGGGGAACCTTCTGTAATTAATTTGTTCTAGTTTTCTTGGAGGGAGGCAGCAGTTATTTTTGTCCTTTGATAGTTAAGTTTGTATATTTCCTTCTTTTTCCTGTAAGCATTATGTATGAGTTGGTATTTAGAAGATCCTTTTTATTATTGAAGTGGTTTTTGATTTCGATTGATCCATTTGTGCCAGAGTCAGAAAGGGAAATGTTCAGTCCAGAGGAAATGTTGACTTTAATAGTTAGTTATCATTAGAAGTATAATTCTGTTAATCCAGTTCTTATGGAAGAGGGAGGGTCATAATTTGATGTAATTTGTCTGTCCAGGTCTGCCCAGAAATTTTTAACACACTGCACTATGGTCCCTTGCTTATTATGGCATATTCGGCTTTCTTCCCCGATTGGCGATTATGATCCCACTTTCTTTTAGCAGATCTCCATGCTAGTCCTTGTAGCAGGGATTGATTCAGCACCTAATCACAAGAAATTCTTGACCCTCCCCCTTGTGAATTGGAGAGTAAAATTATACTCCTTCGATTGCCTTTCTGTATCTCCAACTGTCCAACATGACAAGAAAAATATTACAGATGAAAAACACAATCAGTAATCACTTATCCAGAAAATACAAGATTAATGAGCACGGATCAGATCAGGAAACCGACGCGGCATTGAGGCAACGAGGAGATAATATCTCAAATACAATATAAGATGTATTTTGCTAGTTTTTGATAATCTTCACAAACTACCATAATGTACTATGGGCTTAAACGTGCTACTTTAGCAAAGCTCAAGATTACCTATATGAAAACCTATTCAGTGTGTTTGTAAACACATTGACGAACTCATGTGGGCATTCCTTAACCCGAGCTAATTGGACACTATCTCAAATATAAATGTAATAAAAAGAGAAATGCGCGATATTTCAGAAATAAACACACTGAACATGAGGATGACAAAAGGACAATAAATTCCCAAATATCTTCATTTTGCTCGGCAAAATAACTCTATCAACATAACGTTGTTTGTTAATTTTGCATCCAAGATTACAGATTTTGAGGGATTAACTAGGCATGAGTAAGATGTCTAATAGATAGGAGAATGCCTACTCATATTCCTAGAAGAGAAGGTGAGTGCAATAATCTCCTTATTCATCAGCACTATGGGCCTTCAGCTTGTCCATCTTCATCTTCATTATCAGATGGTTGCTCGGCAGCTTGTCCATCTTCATTTTCAGTGTCAGAGGGTTGCTCTTTCATCTTGCCCTTCCCATTTTCCACTGGTTCTTTCAGCTTCGCTTTTTTGTTAGATTCTGTGGACTTCGATGATCCTGACTTCCTTTTCGAGTTCCTTTGTCTGAATACTGCAAAAAGAAAGAAGAAAACATAAAGGCAAAGAGAGAGCTGTAAGTTCATTCACAGTATACAGTCTTTGATATCATAGTGCCTCACTTGTAATCAGATAACTAAGCCCAGATAAAGAAATAATCTATCACTTATCACACATATTGAGACTGCACAGAGTTCTCTGAATTTCACCATTCAAGGATGCAAAACGCATGACGAGCAAATGATAATCGTCCGACAGTCTGAAGCTTATCACAAGAGGAATCTCGAATTAGGACACCAATTAGAATCAAAGATGATCCCAGACAAGGTAGAATTACAAATATTGATGATTCATTATAGTTTAAAGTGATTCAATGAGGTAGTGATTACATATTCCATAAAAAGGGGGGTAAAAGAGGTTTGATTGTGTGAAATATCAGATAAATTGCAGAACTGATGAGAAGAATATCTACATACATGTACTTCATAGTGACAAAAAATGGAAAATATTTTTTTCCTTCTAATTCATATGAAAAAATATTTAGATACTTCGGTATAATAAGTTGGGACATATTGGTTCTAATACTCACTACATGTCCTGGATAGGTGAGACGAAGATACACTACTAGTGAAGTTGTAAATTTGCATATACTTGGTATTAAGACCGATAACAAGATCAGCCCCTCAGAGAGATCAATAAGTGACATTATGCTCAACTTGTACAAGGTAAAGAGAGCTAGTGTGTATGTCAACTCTCAAAATTATCCCCAACCTTAAAAATGTTACGATAAAAACAATTATGAGCAATTGTTGTCTAATTTCAGCTCTTTTTATTGTTTTGACCTTTAACAGAGTGCCTCTGAACAAGCCTACTGTGAAACCTTTAATGGAAGGTTTCACATTTCCGTTCCACAATAATTAGCCATCATCAGGAGACAAAAACAGTCATTAGCAACCTTCTGTATTGGCTTTAGACCTGGTGTATTGATACACATCTACTCCTCTGATATGGCTCTAACGATATTTGGCCATACTCCTCACGAACTATTCATTACCTTCAATCTCTTTGCCCTAACACAACAGAATTGGCATAGTTGATCATTTCCGACCTTTATTTCTCATTTTCACCAAATATATGTAAAAGTTAAACGATTCTTTGCAGTGTGAGTAGCAATGAAGAAGTGCATAGACATTAATACTCTGGTCTTTCTTTCTACCTTCTTTATTTGGGCGGGAGGAGGTTTCAGATAAAGTCAGACGGCCAACTCTCTATAGTAATTGAAGGTGATCTAATCTATTTGAACTAATGCACGTGGTACCCTAGCTTCTCCATGTTACTAAACTAAAATTGAAGGGTTTCAACCACAGAACATCCCATCTTATTCAGGAAGACCTCAACAAGTGCCATCCTCCAACCTGATGAGGCTGCAGCGCAGCTTTGGTTTTAGGAAAACAAAGAAGGACAGAACATTCTCGTCACTAGTATAAATATGATTAATTGTTTACCTAAACAAGCTATCAAGTAATCATACACCTGATCATGCTACGTAACCTTGTGACACCCTCCATCTCATTTTATGTCCGATGTTTGAATGGACACGGATTGAAAGAAAGAAAGATTTTTGAAACTTGTGGTCTCAAACAAGCAATAGACATTTGTATGGCTATAAATCATCTCATTAAGGGTAAAATGAGAAATTTAAAGTCAAATTGTTTCTAAATATAGAAAGGTTCCGTTCTTTTTGGAACACGCTAAAAAGGAAAGTGTACCACATAAAATGGGATAGAGGGAGTAATATTTAACTCAATGGCACTATTTACATGGCAAAGTGAAGAAGCCAATCATCTTTCATTAGCCCGCCTCTGGCAAATTTAGTTCAGTAATATAACTTAGTTTTAGTAGAAAGATATTGCTAATGCTTTCAAGCAATAAGAAGAATAAGAGAAATCAGATAACTGTAATCAACACTTTGTTTTGCGATTGATATACTATTCATTACTGTAGCACATGTTCTCTTAATTATGAAAGTAATATATAAGAAGTACGTAGACAGACAATCAAGAAATCTGACCACAAAGTTGACATGTGATTGTTAGAATTTGTGAATAAAAGGATTTGTAGTCTAAGATGGAAAACTGCTCAGCATCGTGAGAAAAAATACAGAACCATTAAAGAATTTTAGAACAGTGGAAAGAAACTGACCCTCGAGAGAAGCTCTGAGAGGCTCAATGAACTCGGGAAACTCAATCTCTTCAAGAGCCTTGAACACATCCTCTGCATTTATCGTTTGCCTCTTAGACTCCTTGCATATGTCATTAGCACTGCAATTGAACATCTCAAATCAGCTCACTCATTGAACTGAAATATTATAAAAGAGAAAAACAAAACATATGTTTCCATCTTCTTTCAACATCCACCGATGATAATACAACTTTTCCTCCATTTTCTCAACTGTCAACACAAAGCATGCTTTTTTATGTTCCACTTCAACCAATCAATTAATTATTGTTTGCTCAGATCCACAATCAATCACTTTATATTCATTGATTTCCAACTTTTAGGGTTCATCCTACTAATCACCAAAAAATTTAACTATCAACCAGTAAAAGAATAGCCAATAAACAGAACCCCATTAAAATCCTAGATCACAAAATTTCAGAAAACACCTAAAGTCCCAAAATAAGCCAACTTCAAGTCAATTTACAATCCTAAATTTCAACTTTTTAAAAAAAAAAAAAAAAAAGAAGCTGAACCTCAATAACATCACAATCAATCAGAAAAAAGGCTTAATTTTGTAAAGACCCTATTAAACCCTGGATCACAAAAACTCAAAAAAAAAAACACATCAAATCAATCATTACTCTTTTCATAATTTCCGGGGAATTTTATTTAAAAAAGGAATAAATTGAAGTGAATATGCAAAACCCAGTAAGAGCTTACGTGGCGGAGAGGTAATGGATGAAAATGCGGGCGCTTTCGGAGAAGGCAAGGAGAGAGTCGCGGAGAAGAGAGATGTCAGTATCGGTGGATAATTGGGAAAGCTTATCCTTCACTAGCCTGCGCACGATAGTCTTGGGCAGACCCTCTTGCTCTATTTGTACTGTTGCTGCTGGTAATTTCTCCTTCTCTTTGTCTTTCTGCTTCTCTATTTCCGCCATTGAAATAGGCGAATACTGAAAAAATGCTTTTGGGTTTTAGGATTTAGGTTTCTTTTCCCGCCACGGTCTTTTATAGAGTGAGCTCATGCTTGTTTGGTTCATGAATTAGGTATAACAAAATTATAACATAAATATTGTCGTGCCAAGGCTGTTTGGTGGGCCGGTCTGGGACCGGGACCGGACCGGGCCCGCGGTCCTAACGGGCTAAACGGTCCCGGCAGGCCGGTCCTGGTGGGTCGGTCCCTTAATGGGTAGGAAGCCCGTGACGGGCCGGTCTTGTACACGAGGCCCACGAGACCGGGACCGCTAAGTCCGGGACCGGCAGGCGGTCCTGGGCCGGTTCAACCGGGCCTAGCGGTCCTAACGGGCTCCAACGGCTATTTTTTTTTAAAAAAAATTTTTTTTTTTTAAAAAATAGCCAACGGTCAGATTTTAAAATCTAGCCGTTGGCCTTTAATTTTCAACCGTTTGGAACTTTAAAAAATAGCCATTTGGCCCCCAAACTTTATATAATTACACTTTTTCCCAATTCTCAACTATAAATACCCCCTCATTCTTTCATTTTTACTCACCAATTCATCAATCTATCTCAATCTCTCTCAATCTATATCTAATTTCTCTTCTATAATTGCTTATTTTATTATTGCAATTTCGTAAAAAATTGTGAAGTTGGTGAATTGAAGTATTCAAGTCTTCAAGTCTTCAACGATTTTCAATTTTCAAGAAGTTGTTCGGCAATTCGGTAAACTCGTTCCAACTCTTAACTTTTAAGAATATATTTTTGTGTGTTTAGTTTGCATAATTGTAATTAATATGGCATTTTCTTTGAAAAAAATGTTTGGTGGTAAGGGAAAAGCTAAAATTGGTGAAAGTAGTCTCCAACCTACTACCCTTCCCCCGGCTCCCCGACCCAGACCTATTACCCGTCCTGCTGCTCCTATTATTCTTGATAGTGATAACCCTTGTTTTCAATTTTCCGATAGTGAATTTTGCCATAATGTTGCACAAGGTGAACAATTAAATGAAGAAGTTATGAATGCTCTTTATCCTAATCAAACTATCTTAGAAAATGATGAGGAAAATGAGGATGTAGATGAAACCCAACCGGATTTAGATGATTCACCTACTAGTCCTGTTAATAACCCAACTGATGCCCCGCCCGGCCCACCTGTAGAAACCCCTACTTTTAATAGACAACCTTCTAAACGCCTAGAAACATCATTAGTTTGGAATTTTTTTACTCAAGTAAGAGAACAAAATAAGGCTAGGTGTAAAACTTGTGGGAAATTGCTGGCGCATAAATATACTGGAGACCGTAGTGGTACGGGTAGTTTGGCTAGGCACATACAAACACACCCTAGAGATAAAGTTAAATATTTACAAATGAAAGCGCAGCAAGAGGGGACAAGTGTAGATACTGCGGTTAACCCTAGTACAGGTTCAAATCTAGTTCAACCAGGAATTAACACTGTGACCGGTGGTATTTTATATTACGATCCTAATAAAGATCGTGAAGAATTAGCAAAGATGGTTACTGTTATGTGCTTACCATATACTTTTCCTTCTAACCCTATTTTGAATTGCATTATATTAGAAAAGTTTTTAATCCTACTTATAAAAGTTGGCCTCGCGCAACAGTTAAGAGCGATATATACATAACATACAATAATATACTACACCAATTATATAAATGGAATATATATACATAACATACAATATATACTACAAGGAAAATACATAAGGAATATATATACATAACATACAATATATAGTACACTATACTAGTATCTATATTATTATATTTACATGAAGAAGTAGTACTATATATACTACAAAACAAGTATTTTTCAAAATGAGCGAGGGCCCCACCCCAATGACCACCAACGTCATATTAATTGCAAAAATAGCCGTTTTTTTTTTTAAATTTACCAAACTAACCTTCTCTAACACTATAAGTACCCCCCCTCCCTCTTCTTCATTTCAAATACTCAATAACTCATTTCTCAATCTAAATTTCTCTCAATCTCTCAATCTCCAATTTTCAAGACTTCAAGTCTCAATCTCAATTTTCAAGTTAAATCATGCCTCGTTCGGAAAGAGTGCGCTTATTTGTGTGCACATACTATGAAGTGCTTGAAGAAAATGAAGAAGGCCAAATATTAAAGTGCAAGAAACTGTGGAAGAGTCTTAAATTTTCGTTCAGGGTGTACACAGGCATTTTAAGGAGCATATAAAGTATTGTGTTGAGGGTATTTTATCCGCAATTCGTCTTTATCAGATTTTTCAACAATTTGTGTTATTTTAAAATTATTAGACGTATTTATGCTTCATGTTGTACTTTGTTATTAATTTATTATGCATGCCAATTTAGTTTTACTATTGATTTGTTATTTTACATTTTCGTCAAACACTTTAATAATTAGATTTCTATATTATATATACCACATATATCTATATAGCCATGCATAAGAGCAATTTATATATATACATACACATATGGTTTACAAGAAATTGCCCTAAATAAAAAATTAAAAAAAGCCCGAAATAAAAAAAAGCCCGTTAGGCCCGCTAAGCCCACGAGCCCGGCCCATTTAGCCCAGGACCATATGGGCTTAGGCCCGTCACGGGCTGGTCCTACCCGTTGAGCCCACGAAGCCCGGGACCGCCAGAGCCCAGGACCGCTAAGCCCAGGCCCGTTTAGCCCGGCCCGTTTAGCCCATTTAGGCCCGGGCCCGGGACCACATACAGCCTTATTGTCGTCTCGTTATAAATAGAATTGTATTTATATTTAGAGAGATTCTAGGGTTCATTACTTGGTGGCTAAGTTACCCTCTCCCTATAAATAGAGGGTTCTATTCCATTGTAATTCATCCCAAAATATCAATAAGAATTCTCTCTCTACTTTTCTCTGCAATACTCTTGTTCTTCATTTATTGTTTTATAACACGTTATCAGCACGATACTCTAACCGATTGAGTAGAAGCTTTGGGATTGAGCATAATGACTGTCAATTGTTCCATGAACTTCCTTCATGATTATATTCTGGATTTAAGGTAAGTATTTTACCGTATTTTTCTCTTTTATTCTATAATTTGATTTAAATACAAGCAAAGACAATAAAATTTGATTATAACTCTAATGGAGTTAGTAAGAAATTATAACCACTCGAAGTGGTAAAATTTCTATGTCTTGCCATGATCAAATTTATGTATGATTATGGGCACAAGAAGTGCATACCCGTCCCAATAAATTTGCTTCATTCTCATTTCCTTAAGAGAATGTGATAGCAGTATGTGATAAGTCTGAAAGAAGACAAAATTATTACCGTGAAGGTATCAATGGATGTGGGCGTGGTATTAGACGAAATTACAATCGTCATCATTGTGATAATGAGAACAATAAGAATTCTCAATATAATCCTTCACTCTGTGAAAGTAATATTTGTCATCGATTTGACATGAGATTTTATAAAGCACATATAGATGATTATGGTCCATTCATGATGTGAATGTGACAACATCTGATTTATGAATACATATTCATTCTTCAAAGAATATGAACGTGCTAGTGGCAGTGAATATACCAAACTCACCTCTAGAAGGAGGTTTGAGATGATATAAGAAAATAATGTCATTATTATGACATGAAGTCATTGGTCACGTACCTATTGTACGCCAAAATATTTTGGCATTGTGATTATTAAAAGAAAAGACAACGGTAATGCAAGAAACGGATCTTGCATATAACTTTGACCATAACTATAATGGTATACCTTTCTCTTTAAAAGAGATATTCACCATATGATGTTGATGAATATGTGGTAGTACAAAATTAATTGAGAGCTCTCGAAGAGCCAATTATTATTATTTTGGAGAAAATTGATTATCAATAAGACGTTGTGTTGTAGTAAGTCTCAAAGAAACTTATTGAGTTTCTAAAGTATTCGCGAAAGCGGTTGGTCATACTGAGACTATAAATAAAGGAAAGATTTAATATCTTCTATTACTACAACTTGTAGCGGGGTAATATGTATGTGAAAAGCTACCCGCTTCATTCTCCAGCTTGTACTGCATAAATAAAAGAATACCACAATAAAGTGGATGTTTATTGATATAAAAACCCATATCATAATAAATATGAGTTTATTGAAAATTGCACACGTCATGGTGTAAATCTGAACTTTATCAATATTGATAATTTATTCAGTTAGCATAATTGATTTAGCCATGTTAATTTAAGTATGATGTGCAAAAATAAAAGAGAAATCACATGGGTAAATATTAAAGAACTAAAAAGTTCTTTAAGAATTGTAGACAATAAATTTGCGTCGAGAAAATAAATCAAGACCGAAAAATATCGCAACAATCGTAGTATTTTATTTCGAATATTTAAGTGTTACAATCTCTATGAATCCTCTGATTCTACTTTTCCAGTATAAATTCAAGGGCCTTTGAACTTGATCTTGAATTTGAATTCGATTTATCCGTCGCGAACACTTTGATTGTTGCCACGAATTTTATCACGAACAAGTAGCCTTGATCTCGAACGCCTTGTATTTGATTTGACTTCGTTCTTGATCTTGAATACTTGAAGTGTTCTTCGTTCTTGAGCTTGAATACTTGATTTGTTCTTCGTTCTTGAACTTGATTTCTTGAACTTGAACTTGATTGCTTGAAGCTTGAAACTTGTGGAGGAATTTGCAGTGTTTGATCCACGAGCTCTTTCTTGCTTCTTGTTATAACTTCTGGTGTCTTTTCTGAGTTATGAAGACCCCTATTTATAGTTGTGGGAGGGAAGAGTCATGATAAGAACAAACTCTTTCCGACCAATCAAATTGAAGGGTGACATGGCCGCATTTGATTGGCCAGAACATGTCATTTGCACACGTGGCACGATTTCATTGGCCTTTTAGTGTGACTGGGCATGCCTTGTCATTTTGACACGTGGCATGATCCTATTGGCTCTTCCGTTTGACTTGGCGTGCCACATCATTTGACACGTGGCACCAAACTGGGCCTCTAGGAAGATGACATCTTGGGCTTAATAAAGTGGGCTTATCACTTTAGCCCAATTAAATGGGATGACGCAATGGATTA